AAAAGCTAGCTTGCCCACTGGTCTTTTACGTGCAAACAGCTGCTGGCATGATTGTTGGGGATGGCATCACGACCCTAACACTTAGACCAGGAAGTTTCCATAAGTTTTCACCTGAATAGGCAGAAGTTCAGATAACTGAAAAATGTAGACTCTTCCTGAGGAAAATATCCATAAAATTCTCTTACTGTTTTGGTGTTGTGAAAGATAAATCAGACTTAACAGTACTGTTAACGCTCAAAGGCCAACTATTTCCGCATGCTTACCTGAGGGTCCTGTCACCTGGTTTGCTATGGAGAGATGCTTCAGCAAAGAAAACCAGAAAAGAAATATTTTATATATAATACTGTGCTGTCCCACCAGAAATCGGAACTAATGAAGCTGAACTACGTTGTGTAGCTTTCTAATTCCTCATCTATGGGGACCAGAGAAAATCGTGTTCACACACCTTGATGAGCGGCAGTGTTAACAGTCATCACTCAGAGAGAGAAAGACAAAATGGCCCGGAGCCGGCTTCCCACAGGTTTTACCATGACGTCGTCCTAATACTTCCTTTTCATTTGCAAAAGTGAAGACTGCTAAATTCAACAGAGGTGTGGCAACGGGTGCAGGAAAAATAACCCATCCCTTGAGTCATCCCTGTTTGTTCCAGAAGCTGCAGGGCCTTGAAGCAGGCACAGCTGACTTTCCCAGTCTGGCTCTGGGACACCAGAGGGCAGGAGGGTACCAGGGGTGAGCCTCCCCCTCTGTGGTGGGGAGAGGGCAGGGCGAAGAAACCCTGAGGATTAATCACTCGGGACTTTCTTATCTGGAGACATTCAATGGAGAAGGGGTCAAAAAAAAAGAATGAAAAATGAGAACATCTCCCCAAACTGTAGCTACAGGTGCTGAACAGAAAAAAATAACTGAGCACAGATGGGTTTACTTCCCAGAGAGCTGCCGCTGTAATCCACAGCCTGTCAGGCTGGCCATCCCGCCAAATGTCTGTGTCACTCGCACAGTCCTTCTCTGCCTCCCTCCTCCCCATCCCAAGCTCAGGACTCACAACTCATGTTTCCGCTCTGCAGTGGTTAAGTATGGAGTAGTCGCTGGTGAGTAGACAGTGGGAGCCAGAATTTCCCATCGTATTTGAATTATTTATTTCAACTGTAATTGCAATGAGTGTGAAAGGCTCAAATCTTTCTTCTCCCTGATAAACTTTAGGATGAAAATGGTAGAATGATAATGAGGTGGGTAATTTGCATACTAGTTAAGTAATTTGGACCTTGGCAAGTTGGAAGACATTATGCTTTTTCCTTGATCTGTTCGCATTTTCATTTTTATTTTAATCTCATTTTTGCATTGAATATCTAATTGTTGTCCTCTTATAATCAGAATATTTGTTGAACAAGATTCTTGGCTTTCTCTCCCATCGTGATGCAAAAGGCTAGTTAACTGAATTATTGTTACCCTAAAAATGTTAATGTAAATAAAAATCTAAAAATCACCCATGGGTCTTTTATATTTGTTTAGGCTATTACTTTACTCACCCAAAAAAGAGAAAGCTTAGAATTAAGCTTAATCTAGATAGGACAGGGCTTGGTGGCATCAGACAGAGTGTGTGTGTGTGTGTGTGTGTGTGTGTGTGTGTGTGTGTGTGTGTGTGTGAGAGAGAGAGAGAGAGAGAGAGAGAGAGAGAGAGGGAGAAAGTTATATAGAGAACCTGTGTTTTAAAAGAGGTCAAAGATGCTGCTATTGGGTTTGAAACATACCACTGAATCAAAGAGACAGACGACTTAAAATTGAGGACCGGGAAGAATAAAGCTCCAGCCTTTCCTGCATGACCGATATCCAGGCAACTAGACTGGTCTATTCCAAACTGCAACTCTGAGGATGCCACCTTTTGTCTGCACTGCCCACAGAGCGGAAATCTCAGCGGCACTGCAGAAATGCACAGACACTGGGCACGCAGGTGAGGGTCCCCGCATCCTGGAGACCAGGGGGCCTCTCCCCAGACGCTAAGCGGGAATCCCAAGAGGAGGAAGCAGCATTTGCAGCACCGGGGGGCTGGCTGAGGCTGCCAGGCAACATTTTCACAGAAACCCAGAGCCCATGGAGACCAGGACTCAGCTCCCCTTGCTTTGCAGACTCCAGGGCCAGGTCGGCCAGCCAGCCTGTGTACCATCCCTGCAGTCCCGGAAACACAGAAGGTCTACAGATACTCACTGCGTGAGCCAAGTGTGGTCAGCCCTCCCTCACTTCATTTTTCACATGATCTTTCCAAGTTCTACTGCATCTGTTCTCTCGCTCCTAGCACCCACTTCCAGGAGTTTTCTTGTATTCCCAGAACATGTTTTGGGGGCAGAAGTCTAGGAACTGAACATCCCATCCGCTCGACATATTCCTGAAGATGATGAAGGAAAAAGAAGCTCCTTTTCCCTTCACGGTGCTGTATTTCCCTCCAGCTATACTTCCGGAAGGAGCCGAATTACTCAGCGTGCAGATGGACTGTTACCACGTGACTGCCACCATTAGGGTCCCCGTACTGTGCACCACAGGTTTTGCTGCAGAACCACGTACTTGGCGAGTGAGACCGATACCACGCTTTGCTCTGGAAGCTTGTCGTCCAAGAGAGAGTTGTGACATTAAGCTGTGACACCGTAACAAATGAACCTTAAACATGGATGTTAATTAGTTGTGCAAACAAATTTCATGAAGAATGTTTACTGACTTAGAAGAAGGCACCATTTTCAAACAGATTAGAAGTATCGTGTACATAGAAGCCAAATCTTTGACACGGGGATGGGGTAAGCTGCTTTGATCCATTAATTATCTTTATCTCTTCATTAAGAAGAACTCTTCAAGACCACCGAGCACTGTAGTTTTTAAACATCTAACTTTGAAATTGGGCAAAACTGTTTAAAGTCTGTAATGACAACTTTTCCTTAGATCAGATGGTCCCTTCATAGTGGTCCAGCTGGGTCAAATCCCAAGTGGAGAAACTCACCAGTGTGCATTTGCTGTGAGAACACCCATTCTGCCTTTGCACAGCATTGCAAGCCTGTCAGCACAGCGTCTGGCATGTGGGGGTGCTCCCTAAGGAATTATCCTAGGTGCTGGGGATCGTCAGCTATTTCCTGCGCTTTGATGCTTCAGCTCCAAGTGCAACGAGTTTCCCCCAATTCTTCCATCATTGTGGCCTGCAGAAAGGAACTACCTCAAGAAGTTCTCAGTGGCCAGCAGGGCCCCTGGGGGCTGGGGTGGGCTGGGGCAGTGGAATGGCTCCCAGAAGCAGCAGGGAGCAGAAACAAGGTGGGGGCAGTGGGGAGCGCCCTGACCTGGCCCTGTGGCCTGGCTCCTGCCCACTCTCTCCCTTCCAAGCCCGGCTCTTGCCTTCAGCCGCTGGTGGAAGGCAGTGTCCCAATATTATATGGCTACCATCACAGTTCCATCACGTTCTCGTCTCCACCCAAATTCTGATGCAAGGGGCAGCCAGTGAGACGGTAGGAAATGAAATGGTTTGTAAGTCTTGATGTCTGGGGTAGACTCAGGAGACACCAGAAAAATCTCTTATTCTCTTAGGACCTTGTTTTTTTGTTTTGTTTTGTTGTTGTTGTTTGTTTTTTGTTTTGTTTTGTTTTGTTTTTGTTAACTGAATGAAAGGGCTGCTTTAAGTAGCCCCATCCTCCTGAAAACCTGCTGGCTTGCTCAAGTAAATCCTGGGGTGCCTGAGGCAAGGATGTGAGGGTTGGACTGGCTGTGCTCAGCTTTCAAATATGAAATTGCATTCGACAATGCAGCAAAACTTAGCTTCTTCAAGTGCACTGACTTATATAAAGCACTGACAATAGGTTTACATTCTACATTAAAGTCCACTGTGTTTTTTTAAAGATGTTAATATGTAAATGACGCCACAGAGCTAAATTGATGGGAATTTATGGGGAAGCAGAACCACAGCTCCTAATTACAGAGATACTGAAGTGGTGGAAAACACTGAATCTGGACAACGGGTCTCAGTAAGGGCAAGCAGGTGAGCTCCCCCGTGGCAGAATAAAGGCCTCCTGGAACTATGGGCTGTGCAGGCCGGAGGGTGCTAACACAACCTCGCTTCCATCACAGACAGGTGTGTAGGACGACCTGGTCTCCCAGAGGGCGCACTCCCACGCCACCTCCCGATCGCTGCCCCAGCCTGCCCATCTGCCCGAGGAGCAGCTGGGTCTGTCTGCAGAGACAGCGGCCACTCCCCTCAGCAAGACCTGCAACTTCCTAAGGCGCCCCGGTGTGACTGTGACGGGGAGAGGGTGGTGAGACCGTGTGCACCAGCGCACTTCTGAGGCGAGTCAGAGAAACAAAACAGCCGCCCCTTCCTTTAGATAAATGTTTTCGTGAATCCCAGCCAATGTGCCAGCTGGGGGTACACCACAGGCATTGCACCAAGATGCTCATCTCAGAGGAGAGTTCAGGGATGACTCATCCAAAAGATACCCCAAATAAAGCGGAACAGCACCTCATAGCTGTGGTCCCACATGCTTTTCTAAGTACTTGCAACAAGTCAAAAACTGCATCTTCTTGACTAAAGCGGAAAGATTGAGGGTTCTCCCTAGAAACCCCGTCAGCGGTCTCCTTAGGAAACAAGGTGTGATTTCTCCAAAGCGGGAGAGAAACGTGAAAGTGTCTGGGGGACTGGCCAAGCAGGTTTCCGTCTCATTCTGCATTGTGTCTCCTCTTGGTCCCCGCTTTTCACCTAGCGTGTCCTTCCTTGTGTCTTCTGGTTATGGCTCTGTCCGGAAAGCCCAAGCCGTTCCTTCCCCCCACGTCAACTAGACCGCCAATCCCTGAAACGCCTCAGTTTACCAGGTCATATATATTTAGCAAAGCATCGCCCAGTACTTGCAAAGGAATTCTCTGTTCGCTTATCTCCGCGCTCCCTTCTGATCTCAACAGATCAACCAGAGCCTTCACTTTCTCCTCTGGTGACCCGCGAGCCCGCGCCCCGGGCTGCGGGCGCTGACACAGGTACCTACCTTGCCCAGGCCGGGGGTGTCCTTCACCTTGTTGATGGCCCTCAGCAGGCAGGGCGGGGCGGGCGGCGGGGAGGTCTGCAGGATGCCACTGAAGCTGGTACCAAACAGCGGCTGCTCAGCGACCGAGGAAGTGGAAGGTCGATGCTTCTTCTTTTTAGAGGACAGATTTAGCTTCTGAGCAGCTCTGGCGGGAGAAATAAGCAGGGGTACAGTGAGAGGGAACGTAAGCTACAATCAGATGTGTGGGGGCTACTGGCTGTTCTTTTTCTTCAAGAACCCCCTAGTTCTTATCGCAGTTTAATATAGTTGCCCCTCACTTTCAGGGTGCGCTGCAGTTTCCCCTCCCTGCAACGGGGCAAACTGAATGAGCTGCCGATGACTTACACGGCAGGGAAAAGCCAGACACGGGCTTGGTTCTGCACTCTCGATTCACAAAGCGTCGTTTTCCACCGGGACACGGAGTTTCAGCACAACTAAAGCTGGTCATCCTTGAGGACAAGCAGCATGATAAGAGCATCGTTCCAAAACTTCTCTGGAATAAACCCAAGGGTGAGCGAACGTCTGAGCTCTCTGGAAACCTGAACACCTTGTAAAATTTAAACCAGTCTGGGGAAGAGCCGCAGGTGAGCGCGCAGGGCGTCCGAAGAGGGACACGCGTCCAGGCAGTGTCAGCTGCAGCCGGTCTCGGCTGCCAAGGTTACCGTGTGGAGAAGAGGCGCGAGCCGGGTCGGCCTTAAACCCAACATGCAGTTCCCCTAAGTGCGAGATTGGGGGGGGGGGGTCGCAAAGGGGCGGAGGGGACCACGGGGAAGAGGGGAGAGGAGATGGCCAGCTCCTTTAGTAACAACAGCGGTCACTTCCTGTCTCCAGCAGCCAAGGGTTTGTCCCCCCTGGAACATCATAGCGGCATGAACGTCATAGCGGCATGAACGTCATAGCGGCATGAACGTCATAGCGGCATGAACGTCATAGCGGCATGAACGTCATAGCGGCATGAACGTCATAGCGGTATGAACGTCATAGCGGCATGAACATCATAGCGGTATGCAGAGGCAGACGCAGGTAAGGCGTTTCACAGACTGCATGCAATATATTCCTCTCTGGGTTAATTCCTGGACGTCCAGGCTATACTCTTGTTCTAGGAATTCCAACTTGCACTGTTTAATAACGCCTGAATATTCTCAATATCATTTGAACTGCTGCCTAGAACAAATGATCTACCTACCATGACTATTCTACAGCTCAAAACCTTATTTCCCATCCAGTGCGTGACATGACAGGTCACATGTCACGAGGGAGGCAGGTCAAAAGAAAAATCAGTGTTTTTCCAGATTTTTTTTTTTGCACCTTCTCCCCCTTCCCAAACTTGGTGTCAACATTTGGTTTTAATTTTGTATCTGTAATTATGCTTTTGACAAATCCCCTGAGCTACAAAATTGCCACTGTCTAAATACAACAAATGGAACTAGCACTTCAACGTTTAATTTTTCTCAGCCTTAGAAGAAACTATTTTTTTTTAAGAGTGAAATACAGAGGAAAGGCATCTATGAACAACAGCAGGCTTTGATGGAGTAGCACCCCAAGAATCCAGCACCATGCGCCACACTGAGGGAACTCTCCACAGTCGCTCTGCTGTAGGGATGAAAAATGAAAGGCACGGAGGAGATTTCCACAGTGCTTTTCTTTTCCAATCAGCAAAGAAAAAAACTCAGAATCATCTTTTTTTCATGATCTCATTGCCACTCTGGATGTTCTTTCTGAAATGAAAGATGGAGTGGTTCAATGCCCCGTCTGGTGCTTCTCTGGGAAGCTGTCATTACTCTGAGAGTCTCTCCCTGAATGGAGAGTGGCTCACATGGGGGTGTGTCTCCCCGGGGCCCCCCACTCCCACACACGTGGCTGCTTTCCACCAGGCTGCAGAAGTCTTGGAAAGTTAGAGCTGATTCTCTGCTAGTAATGGAAGGAGGTGTTTATCCGTTGGTGTGAGGGTGCTTTGATGATGGGGCATTTGCGACAGATCCCACTTCTCCATGGGTTGGGGTTCCCAGAATAATGGGGAGACAGAGAGGCGAGAGAAAGAAAGGCAGTTGAAGACAGTTTAGAAGATGTAGTGACTTTAGGCTTTTCTCTTTTCCTATTTCTTATCTTTATCACACACATATTCCCCGACCCTGCTGAGGAAGAAAGGAAGTATCCATGAAAATAAAGTATACTTCAAAATACTTGAAGGGAAAAATTAGGTGACTTCCACAATCTCCTTTAGGGCAGAGATTCTAAAGTAATCCCTAGAATCTCTTTTCCTTTAGGAAAGCCAGTGGGAGCTTCAATGGAGAACAAAAGCAATAGAGAGAATCATTCTGAGAATACATTTACAAATTATTTCTCCTAAAGCATGCAGGCAAATGTATTAGAATGCCAGATTTTTTAAAGCACTAGAAGGCACATGATATATATACATACATACATACATATATATATATATTTTAAATATATATATACAACATATATATATATTTAAAAATTCTGGATTTCTAATTCATTCTGGCATTCTAATACATGTCATATATACTGTAGGAACGTTTTGTTTTAATTTTGATATCATCTGATTTCTTGATAATCAGCAGTTATGTTTGCTCTTTTATACAGCACTTCAGTGACACACAGCTAGGAGAAAGGTAAGGTACAGAAATCATTCAAACATAACTGTACTATTCGGTAACAAAGGGAAGTCGCAACAGAACTGTAAGAGGAAAGACACCTTCGTTGAGTGTATGTATGTAGTCAATACCTTTCAAGTTTCTTTCATAGGGAGAAAACAGTTAAGTGGCTTTTTTCATAAGATTTCAAACAACAAAAAATAACCTAAAACCCATTATAAACAATATTTATTCTTCTTACTTGTACCATGGCTACTGCCACATATTTCCTAAAGCTATTCATTTCCGCATACATCTTTAAAAATCCATTCGTTTTATTTAATTCTCCCTGCCTCGTTTCAAGGAAAAGATAGCCTCACTAGGATGAAATTGACATTTGCTGAACACCTAGAAAGAAGGTGATACTGTGCTATCAGCAACACCAGGAAAGAGCAGAATAGGGGTTCCCTGCTGTCCAAAGGTAGAATGTTCCTATTTGGTATGATTTGACAGGTAGGTTATTTGGGGGATCTGGGAACAATATTACAATTAACTTATATGGGAAAATTCTTGAGTGTCTCCAACCCCCCTCCCCCCAATAGCCTACCAAACCACGTCCGTGTTTCATTTTCAGATAGCAGGGAAATCCTATAGTGTGAGCCTGCAAGAATTTAAACCTCGTGAGCTGGATTCTTCCTCTGGGTTCCACCCCCCTCTCATCACATCCTCACTGATCTCACCCAGGAGACAACTTCACTAACACATCAACATGATGGCATTGGAATCAGCAATCAGTTTAGAATTGAGATGACCTTCAGATGTGATAGGTGCTTGTTCTCATTGCCAGATCTCTCCAGACCCTAGGAATAAGGCGTTAAATAATTACCTGGTTAATGTAACTGGCTTAAGATGTGGAGAAGTCTTAGGTATCAGCTGTCAGTTATGTAGATCGGAAGGGAAATTGTTGGAGGATTTTTTTTTTTTTTGCATTTGCACAATAGACTGTTTGCCAAACTAACACCTTAGTTTTCAAAATTGTAGTATTTCAGTGAAACACCCTCATTCCAAGTGCATCTCATAAGAATGAAATTGGGGTCTATCACGTTTAGAGTCTAGGGTGACTAAAAAATTGACCTAGCTGTCTTGTAAGAATTATTACCTTCATGAAGAATGGAAATTTCCTTAGGGAGCAGGCAGGAATGTTAGGTAATCTGGTTGTTTTTGAGGACTTTTTTTTTTTTAATCTATACACCATGTGTTTTAGCTAAGAGCATTTCTGAGAGCATTTCCTTTTGTATTCATGGGGGTATTCAAACGTGGAGGCGCAGATAAGTGGGAAAAGGTTTATAAAAACTAGGAGACCGTTCAAGCTCTACTAAATTAGAACTAAGCAATAGATTGGCGAGATTGCAACTGAAAAATTGCTCAAGAAAAAGGCACGTGAGGCCCGGAAAAGAACCACCTCAGCATCATAGAAAGGTCCCGACCAGGAAGGGTAAAGACCCCTCGAGTCTCCACTGTCAGCACGAACAGGACAATCCAAGCTGTAATTTAACGTGACAGTGGCTGGGCTGCCATGGGCTTCTCTGGCTTATGTGCCATTATAAAGTATTTCAATGCTCTGAGGATTAAGACTATCTGATAATGAGCAGTGACATGACAGATCACAGCAGTTCCCAGGAAATCCATGGGGTCAGTGACAGAAGGGGAGAAGGAAATAAAAGGATTATAAGCAGGGAGTCTATGTGACAAGAATGACTGGTCCGAGGCAAAGCTTCTGTAAACAGCTAAGATATCCATCTGCATGTAAAACAACAACAGTTACGTCTCATTTTGAAATCACACTGACTTAGAAGTATTTTGGCGCCGTCATGAAGCATATTGGTCACGTTGGAGACCCCAGACAGGGATACCAGCACCCCCCTTCACCTCACCATTTTCTAATTGGCTGTCACAGGGGTCATTTCCATGTCTCTGGGGATGGTACAGCATATGGGTCCTGGGGTTTTTCTGATTTTTATGTAAATGATCTATTTCATTAGGGCAGGAAGATAATTCATGACATGACTTCAAATAAAATGTTTAGTGCTAGGAGGCAAAAACCGTGGCTGACCGTTAACCTCCAACATATTGTGTTAAAACCCTACGGCCAGACACTGATATAATTTGAAAATGGATTGATTTTTTGCAATTGAATGCCCAACATTAATGATAATGATGATAATTTACCCTTATTTGCCTCTTAAAGACTTACTCACTTTCAAGGGTCTGAGTTGCCCTCATCCATTACGTCAGCCTCTGGGGACCACCATCCTTTTCCCCTGATGTCTGACAGGGATCGGTCTTGAGAGCACCTAGCTTATGTTTTAATATTGGAGATGCTGCTTTAAGTGAGGGGTCGTCGCTGCATTTGCATGTGATTAGTGTTGTCTCCACTGGTGCATCATTAACTCAATGAAGGTCAATGGCATTGTGGGTGCTTTCTTCTGTGGTCTCCAGACCTGCCCCACAGCCATGCTGAAGGGTTACCGTGTGTCGCTCAGTGTTA